GTTCTTGTCTGTGTCCTTGTCTGGTTTTGATATCAAGGTGATGTTGCCTGAAGGAAAGACGTTGGACTCATTCCTTTCCTTTGTACTTTAAGGAATAGTTTACGGGGCACTGGTGTTAGTTGTTCTTTTAGGGTCTAGTAAAATTCAGCAGTGAGCCCTGCTGGTTACTGGCTTTGCTCTGTTGAGAAACTAGTATTGTTTTAACCTAATTGCTTATTATTTATCTACTTTGATTTTTATATCCTCTTGATTATTTATTTGAAATCTCTTTGATTTTCTGATGTAGGCAGTCACAGCTAGAAACTTTCCTCTTAGAACTGCCTTTGGTAGGCCCCAGAGATTCTGATATGTTGTACTGCCCTTCTCTTTTTAAAAAATTTCTTCCCTTATTTCTTCAATGAACTGATTGTTCCTGAGTGAACTGTTCAACCTTCAAGTGTTTGTATAGTTTCTGTGGTTTTTCTTATTGCTGACTTCTAGCTTTACTCCATTGTAATTTGGTATCGTGAAAGACATTATTTCAACTTTTCTTTGTATTTGTTAAGGATACTTTATGGCCAAAACTGTGGTGCATTTAAGAGAACATTCCATGCACAGCTGAGAATGGATATTCTGTAGTTGTTGGATGGAATGTCCTCTAAACATCTGTTAAAACCATTTCACATTTTTCTGTTGATATTTTTGTGTGATGACCTATCTACTGGAGTAAGTGGAGTACTGAAGTCATCCACTAGTATTGCATTGGGCTTATGTATCCCTTTATGTTGAGTAGTGTTTTATGAAATTGGGTGTGCTGATTTTCAGTGTATATATATTTACAACTGTGTATCTTTTGTGGTAGATTGTTTTCTTTACTGAGATATGTGAGTTTCCTTGTCTCATATGACTAATTTTGCTTTGAAGTCTGCTTTGACAGGTATGTGTATAGCTACTTCTGCTTATTTTTTATTTCTGTTTTCTATGTTTACTGATACATGTTTGTAGTATATAATGATTACATTCATCGTGGGATTTTTTTTTTAGCTCTCTCTCTCTCCTCCTTTGCTTCCCTTTCCCTGAATATATATACACAGAGTAGTACTCCATTTTATATAAAAACCATTATGTTCTTGATCCATTCATCCACCGATGGGCATCTGAGTTGCTTCCAAGGTTTGTTTATTAGAAATTGTGCTGCTACGAGCACAGGAGTGCATACGTTGCTATGTTACGATGCTTTTAACTCTTTTGGGAAGATATCACAAAGGAGGAGAGCTGGGTGAAATGGGATTTTTACTTTTAGTTTTTTGAGGAATCTCTACACTGATTTCCACACTGGTTGTACCAATTTACCCAACAGAAAGAGTAAATGAAGACTAAAATGTATGAAATCAAATTCAAATGGTAAGGGAGGTTGTGGAGGGGTGAGAGGGAAGGAAAGAAGATTAAGGAGAAATGGAAACAAAGCTTCTGTAAATAAACAGGGGAAGGAAAGCTGAAGGCAGGGCAGGGGAAATGGGAAAAAAGACGAATCAAGATATATTGTGTACAAACACAAATTCCCTACGATGACCGTGCTCATTTTTCTGAGTACTGTGCTTTTCACTGTAGAGGTCTTTC